AGGGGAAGGGTTCAGAGAGGCGGCGGCGACGGTCGGGCCGCCAGGCCCTCAGACGGGCTTTGAATTGGGACAAATCGAATGGGCCCCACGCATCGGACCATGAAAGCGCCAGAGGTCTGTGATGTCTCAAGGTTTTCGTGACGTGGGCCCTGAAGGATCCCGACCTCTTCCCTGGGGGCAGGCTTTTCGGCCAGAGTCACTTTTGAGCGCCTCAGCCCCCCAAGACGGTCGCGAGAGGCCCAAGACGTTTCACAACACGTACGCTGTGATTGGAAAGGCCTGACGGACGGTGCCGCCGACCCTGATCGAAAGGGCTAGGAGTGGGGGGAGGAAGCGGAAGGATGAGGAGGAGGAGGATGAGGGACGAGGAGGAGGAGGAGGAGGAGGAGGAGGAGGAGGAGGAGGAGGAGGAGGAAGAGGAGGAGGAGGAGGAAGGAGGAGGAGGAGGAGGAGGAAGTGCATCCTTTGTGTGCCCGCTCGAAGAAAGTGCGCCCCGGGAGTGTGATAGTCTGACTTGGGACGTGCTCCCGGAATGAGGAAAAAGTGCATCTCGGGCGTGCCCGCTCGAGGAAAATGCGCCCTAGGGGGGTGGTATTTTGACTCGGGGCCCGCTCCCGGGACGCTCTGCGGGAGGAGGAGGAGGAGGAGGAGGAGGAGGAGGAGGAGGAGGAGGAGGAGGAGGAGGAGGAGAAGGAGGAGAGGAGCAGGAGGAGGAGGAGGAGGAAAAGGAGGAGGAGGACCAGGAGGAGGAGGAAGTGCATCCCGTGCGTGCCCGCTCGAGGAAAGTGCGCCCCGGCGGGCGTCGTATCTGCCCCGGCCCCCCCCCCCTCCCCCCTCCCCCCCCCCTGCGGGGAATGGATCAAAGGGAAGGGGCTTCCTTTCGACTCCACTACGACGTCGTTTAATTTCGCTTTGGATAGCGCGCTTGAGGATGAGAACCCTGGGAGGGGGAGAACGGAGACGACGGAGACGACGAGTCGAACGGAGAAGCCCCTCACACACGCCGACAGGGTCGGCGGATTTTTTTGCGACGCCCGTGGCATGGGAACGCAAGGGAACGTCCTGACAAATCGTACCTTTCGAGGGATCGTCTTGGCAAACATTAAGGCACAGGCTTTTCGTAGCCTCCGGTGTGGAGGCCGTTTCTCGGTGCTGACCTGGAGGCGGGCTCTTCCCCCGGCCCTCTGCTGGGGAAGGTGGATGCACAGGGCAGCCGACTTGGGCGAGAGCTGGGTGCACATGTGATTCACCCACACACATCTACAACTATAGACATCTAAGTATATGTAGATAGGTGTGTGTATATGAGGTGTATCTATATATACACACACATTCGTACACAAACAATATACGTAAGTCTACAACCATACAGTTACATATATATATATATATATATACATATATATATATACAGCTATCCACATACATAGTTACATCTATACGCTCGAAGCTATTCACATACATGTTATATATAGGTGCATGTGAGTATAAGTATATATATTTATATATATACACATGTATATATACACATGTATAAACATTGAGTATATCTCTGTATCCGTAATGGTTTCACCCCTTGCCGCCGGCCCCCTCTCTCGGATAATGGGCAACGCAAGAGCGAAATCATGAGGCCTTGGCGCCGCCTTGAAGCAGCCAGTGGCGGGACTGCACGCGAACTCGATGAGTAATCGGCAATACAGATTGAAATGTTCATGATTTTGTTGAATTCGGTATTGCATTTCGATGGTTTATGGCTTTAGATACGAGAATAGCGCTTAGTTTACGAGGGTTTAGGGCTTAGGGTCGCAAACATAGCTTAGTTTACGCAGGTTTATGGCTTCGGAGACGCGACTATGGCATCATTTATGCGGGTTTATGGCTTCGGACACGCGTTTATTGCATAATGTACAAAAGGTTTATTGTTTCGGGGTCGCACATATTGTATCATTTACGCAGGTTGATGGCTTCGGAGACGCGATCTTGGGGACGCGAATATTGCATGATGTATGAGCGTTTGTGGCCTCGGAGACGCAGGCATCGCGCAATGTACGAAGGTTGATGCCTTCGGGGAGACGAGCACGGCGTATTTTGCAGAGGGTTTATGGCTTCGGGGACGCGAATATCGCGTATTTCACGAGCGTGTATGGCCTCAGGGACTCGGGGGCGCGAGCTTGATATTTTTACGTGTCCCACGCCCCCCCCCTCGGGAATTCAGAGCACGCGACTCGGGCGTGGTAGCTCGGTTCCTTCTCGCTCCCCCCCACACGCGCGGTCCATCAACAAGGAACAGTCAGCAGCAATAAGCATAACTGCAACAGTGGAAACTTGAAACTGGAAGTGGCGCAGGGAACAGCAAACCCTCGGCCTCCTCCCTGTGGGGCCAAGGAGAGAAGGAGGCCCTCACTGATGCTAGCCGTGCATGCCCTGCAGTGTGGCGCCAGCTGGTGGCGCTGAAAAGAACGCCGCCTGCCTTTGCATGGGCCCCTTCCCACAGGACTGAGGATGAGGTTCTCTTTCCCGCTCCTGAGGACCCTCCGCCTCCTCCCTACCTCTGGGTCGTGGGGAATAGTTGGGCCGACTTTTCGCTAAGCTGGGGGCCCTCTCGGTCAAGCTCCCAGAGGCCCACGCTAGGTTCTATAAGGACTCGCTGGCAGAGGCTGCCCAGTATGCCAAGTATTTGTCTTGGGCGGTCCAGAGAAGCTGTCAGCTCGAGCTGTGGTCTGAGAAGGCAGCCCTGACGGCCGCCCCGAGCAGGGCTCCCAAGGCTAATTGAGCTGGAGTGGTGCTGCTAATACATGAGCACGACCTCATCGAGATTCGAGGGAGGCCCATGTGTCGTCGATGCCGTCGCACTGCGAAGACCGCCGAGGTTCGCAGGCAGTTGGCGGGAGGCACGGATCGACGGTGTGTGCCTTCTACGATTTCCCGAATGCAGGCAAATCTGATCGAGGCTGCCGCCAGTGCCGCCGCGAGGCCGCCGACGGCCCGCTGGGGTTCTGTGGGGGGGCCGCCTGGTGGCCCTGTGGGTGCCCGTGGGGATGGGGCCTCGGCTGGGTCGGTTCCTGTTGCCGCTGGGCTTGGGTCGGCTGCGGCTGGGGGCTCGGCCGGGGTGCGCTGGGGGGGGCCTGTGCCTGCCCGCGAGGGCGGGGCTGGGGCGGCGTCTTTGGCCTCTGAGGAGGCCGTGCGTGAGGGGCCTGTGCCTGCCCGCGAGGGCGAGGCTGGGGCCCCTTTTGGGGGTGCCGCGGGCTCTGGGGAGCCCGCGGTGGCGGAGTGGTGTCACGCGCCTGGGGGACACGACGTCACCGCCACGGGTACTGTCGTCTGGTGTCGGCGGTGCGGGGCCTACGGGTCCGTCAGGGTGGGGAAGGCCTTCAGCTCCCCCTGTCCTGACCCCAAAGACTTGCCCAAGAGCAGGAGGTCAGTCCCCAGTGCTCTCCAGAGAGGCAAGCACCCCAAGACTGGGAAGTCCCTCACTGGGTGACTGACGGCTTGGGGGTTTAACTTTCCCTCTTAGAGTGGTGTCTGTGAGCAGACGCTTTCTCTTCAGTGCTTCCCTGCTTCCCTCCTCCTCCTCCTCCTCCTCCTCCTCCACCTCCTCCTCCTCCTCCTCCTCCTCCTCCTCCTTCGCTCCTCTCTTACCCTCCTCCTCCTCCTCCTCCTCCTCCTCCTACTCTCCTCCTTCCTCCTTCATCCCCCTCCCCCTCCCCCTGCCCCCCGCCCTCCTCCTCCTCCTCTCCTCCCCCTTCTCCTCCCCCTCTCCTCTCCTCTCCTCCCCTCCTCTCCTCTTTCTCTCCCCTCCCTCTCCTCCTCCTCTCCTCCTCCTCCCTCTCCTCCTCCTCCTCCTCCTCCTCCTCCTCCTCCTCCTCCTTCTTTCACCCGCGACTGTGCCTGATTGGCAATCGCTGCCCGTCCAAAGCGTTATACCTCGTATGCATGGGGAAGCGCCGCCCCAGGGCATACATAAGGTTTGGTCATCGATAGTGGTTGGACCTTTTCGCCAGTGCTCTGCTAGCCTGCTTGCAGACGTGGTTGGTTTAGTGTTCGAGGGTGCAAACACGTCAATCCCAGATCCGCAGCGTCGTGATTTCCTTACGACGTGGACCCCTGGAGGTCCCGACCAATACCCCTCGACAGTATTCTCATCCCCCGCCGAATCTTGGTGGCCCTACAGGGTCTGGCGAGGGCCCCCATAGAGGCATACAACCGCAACACCAGCAAACAAGAACCTCGCGCCGTGTTGTTTCGCGACGCGATGGGGGTCTGTGCTGTTGGTATCCTTCCTTCGGCGGCGAGCGAGGGGGGGAGTGAGATGGGGCGGGCCTTCTCAGAAGGCTCGGACGTCCCCTTGCCGTCTGAACAGTTTTCTACATCTTCCCCGAACGCGTAAAGAACTGAACTCCTCAGAAGGCCAGAGGGCTTCTGAGAAGCCTCGCCGCCTTCGAGAAGGCCTTCTCCTTCTCCTTTCCCCCTCCTTCGCGCGCCGCTTGCTCTCAAAAAACAGGTTGCGGCCGATCGCTCGCGACCGATCGGTCGCGTTCTGTCGCGACTGGTTTGGCGTGCCGATTGGCGACCGAAGAACAAATCGGGATCCAATGATCTGGGGTCACAGCCAACCCGAAGAGTAAGGATGGGCGACCGTCCCAAGGGTACCTTTGCATCCTTGCCTCCTCGGCCCATCCCTGGCCACTGTCGTTGGCCGCGCCCCACTCGAAAAGCTTCGACGTGGCCTTCCGAGGCCCTTGCGTCCCTCTCGCGCATCCTTCCTATACCGGTCGGGGCTGGACAGAACCCCCAACAGTGACACGTCGATTAGTGAATTGTGCGTTTTCGGTTCTCGAGATGGCGCCGTGGCCCTTATTTTCCAGGTTTGCCCCCGCCAGGTTTGGGCCTCAGGTCGTTTTCACTAAACCACGTTTTACCAAAGGGGGGTCTGTCCATCCCCGCACCGGTTGACTCTATACATGTGGTGGGGGGGGGCGGGCGCCGCGCAGCCCGCGCAGGGGACCGTCGAGGTCGTGGTCTCGCGCTGCCCCTCGGCGGCGAAGGCACCGCGCCGCCGCAGAGAGCGCGCCCGCCGCAGGGGCGGGCGGGAACCCGCTCCTCCTCCCCCTCCTCCCCCTCCCCGTCCTCCTTCTCCTCCCCCTCCTCCCCCTCCTCCTCCTCCTCCTCCTCCTCCTCCTCCTCCTCCTCCTCCCCCATCCCCCATCCCCCTCCTCCTCCTCCCTCCTCCTCCCCTCCCTCCTCCTCCTCCTCCTCCTACCTCCTCTCCTCCTCATCCTCCTCTTCCTCCCCCTCCTCCCCCTCCTCCTCCTCCTCCTCCTCCTCCTTCTCCTCCCCCATCTTCTCCTCCTTCTCCTCCTCGCACCCGCTCAGATCGGGGCGTCGCGCAGAGATCGGCGGCTACATGTAAGTCTGGCCTGTCCTTTTACATGAGGAACAGTCAGAAATCATATATGTTGAAAATAGTATTGGGACGAATTTTCTAGCATTTTTTAAGACAATTTTTGAGCATTTTTCAACATTCTGAAGATTTCGCCCAAATTCCCCCTGTATGGGGGACAGGCCCGACCTAAGGCAGTGACCTTTCGCCACAGTGACCTTTCGCGCGGGCTCTCACGGGGGCTCCCCCCAGCACCTGCGCGCTTAGACCTGGCGGCCCCCCCAAAAGCCGCGCACCAGCGGCCACGCTTGCCTGGGGGTCACTCTTGCGTGCATCCGGTGAGGCAGGGCTCAGGAGACGGGGCTCGATGCAAACGTGGGTCCGTCCGAGATGCGGACCTTGCAGGATCCTGCAGGGCCAGGGCTGCACTGGCCCAGTTTCTGGCGCAGGATCCTACAGGATCCTGCAGGATCGTGCAGGATTCTGCCAGGGCCTGACTGACCAGGGTTTGGATTAACCCGGGTCAATAGATCCACGAGCGACATTTGATTTGGATCACCGCTGGGGATTTTCGGCATCTGCTAGGATCACCGCTGAGGGCTGCTGAGGGGATAAGGGGATGGGGGGCTTTACGTGAACGCCAAGGTCGTAGCTGGCCGAACCTAGCTTAAAAAAGGTGTCGTGATGGCTTGAAGGGGGTTAGGCAAGTCTGCCTGGTGGGCTCCGCTCACTTGGCCCAGATCTCCGCCCTCCACAAGCCGCGCATGGCACTTGCAAGCTCGTTGAGGCCAGAGGTGACCCACCCTGGCATCCACTCTCAGACTCCCCCCCCCCCTTTATCCCCTCGGCCCCCCCCCCCCCGCGGTGCTCGAAGGGGGGGAGCTGTCTTCCGGCCCCGGGACCTCGCCGGAGGGAGCGCCGGTCCCCAGGGGCAGGGCGCCCGAGGCCCCGCGCGGCGGTCGGGGAGGTTGGCGTCGTCGGAGGGGACGGGGCGGAGAGCGGCCCCGCGCCGGAGCGACGACCTGCGGCTCTCGGGTGGCGCGGGCGGGGGGGGGGGGCCCACACCTCAGCACGCAGGCCGCGCTCGCCGCGTCGCGTTTCCTCTCGTCTCGCCGCGTTTGCGTCCTGCCACGTGTGGCTGTGCCCCTCAGGGCCCAGGTGGCACTCTTGCCGTTGGCTGGGGCGGAGAGCTGCAGGCCTGGACCCCCATGCGGGTCTCGGGGAGGTTCGCGACGGCGGGCATCTCAGAGTGTTTGTGTCATGCGCAGTCTCAGCACGAATTAGCCAGAGCATGAGGAGTCTGAGCATGAGTGGGTCTGCGCATTCGCGGGCCTGAGCATGCATGGACCTGAGTGTGAGTGGGTTCGGGCACAAGTGAGTTCGAGTGTGTGTGGGTCTGAGTGTGTGTGGGTCTGAGCATGGGTGAGTCCGAGCAAGAGTGGTCCTTTGCCGGCATGACCTTTTGGTGCGCGGGCGTTGGGGGTCTTCGGGGTGCGCGGGGTGTGCCTTGTCGTTGGGACTTTCGGGCGGCTTCGTGGGATCCTGGAGGTTTCCCTACCTCGGGATGCGTTCCAGCAGCTGCACCTCGCCGATAGCGTTCTTGGGGTGCCCGGCTTGTCCAGATCGGCTGCCCGCTCGCTGCAGTGACCTTTGGTGCGCCGCCATCTGGCGGCGCGGGGGAGCCAAACTCAGGCCCGCAGGCCGATACACTCCACCGGTACAGAAAAGATGGGCAACCATCCTAAGGGTACCCTTGCATCCTTGCCTCCTCGGTCCATCCTTGGCCATTTTCCTTGGCCGCGCTCCGCTCGAAAAGCTTCGAGACGGCCTTCCAAGGCCCTCGTATCCTTATCGTGCGTCCTTCTGATACTGGTACGACGGTACGTGAGAACGACGTCGACACGCTCCAGAAATGGCCAGGCCTTCGAGGATTCGAGGGGTTCACTTACGCTCTTCGGCGGGCAGTGGGCGGAAGCAGAATGAGGCCAACTCCGTCGGCTGAAGCCGGCGGAAGGTGTCGGGGTTCAAGAGACGGGGATCAGTGCAAACGGGAGTCAGTCAGAGCGCCACATCTTGCACGATCCTGCATTGCCAGGGGTGCATTGACCCGGGTTTGGGTGCAGGATCCTGCAGGATCCTGCAACGCCTGACTGACCCGGGTCTGGCTTGACCCGGGTCAGTAGGTCCCCGAGTTGACGGAAGCCAGCGGAAGCAAAATGTGCGGCCTCGAGGGATCTCTCGCAAGTTGTGAGTGAGGAGTTGTGGCAGGCAAAGCATGAAGTTAATATTTTTGGATGCGCGCGCGGATCTCTTGGTGTGTCCTCCCCGCGCCCTGTCCCCCCGCTCTCCCCGTGCGGGTGGGGGGCGGAGGGGGGACTTGCCGAGCTCCTGCGCCGCTCCTCAGGGACTCTTGATCGAGGGAGGAAGAACAAAACCTGGAGCGGACAATGGGCGTTTACGAAACGGCCTGGGGTCTTTATTAATGAACAGCCCTGCCCTGTTTGATTCCTTCTTTGGGTGCGTTTACTAAACGGCCTCGCGTGTCGGGGTGGTTATTATGGGGGTGGATTCCCTGCCCTCTACTTGAGGAGCAGGGGTAAGGCGAGGTGGGCTCCTCGCACTTTTTGTGGGTGGATCTCTCAAGCTCTCCGCCGCCTCTGGCGGTGTGCTTTGCGAGCAGGAACGCAGCAAAGCCACAGAAAAGCGCGGCATCGACAGTGTAGCTCCGCGCACGTGACAAATGCTAACGAGCAAGAACACAGCGAAGCCCTGAACTCAGTCCTTAACTCAGCCCTTAACTCATTTGTTAATCTAGGGCGGAAAGTTTGGTGAGGCTGGCCAGGGCCACCACGTCTTGAGTCGGCACGTCTGCTCGCGGTTCGAACCGCGCTCGCTCGCCCAGCACGCAGGCAGCACACTCTTGTCTCCAGAAGAAGGGGATTTCCCTAGGTGCTCTTTCCGTTCGATCGCCTCCATCAAAGATTGCTGCACAGATGGCCCGCACATATTGGTAGCATGATCTGCAGGACCATAAGGCAGGCGCTCCCGCTCGAGATTTCCTCCAGATTCTGGCCCGAGAAACCAAGACATGACGACAATTACAAAGATGAGATGGCACGCGCAGATTTGTAGCATGAAGCGCGGGCCCCGTAGGGAGGGGGCTCCCGCTCGAGACGTCCCCGCGATTCACTCACAGACGAAGCTCCCGTTGGATAGGTCCTGCGTTACCATGTGAGCGTGTGAGTGCGTGTGAGTGTGACTGCGATGATGGTGTACAATTATCATGGTATGATTATGGTGATGATGCCGATGGTGTGATGGTGGTGGTGAATGCGAAGGGGCAGAGGGTGTTGCTAATGATGGTGATGGTGATGATGAGTAGCGAGGGTGGCGATGAGAGAGGCGAGGGGGGCGAGGAGGTGGGGAGGTTCCTGCGCGGGGCGTCCAGAGACAACGGGACGCTGCTTAGGATGTGGGGAACAAGAACCCACTTCATGGTGTGGGGGCGCCGTTCCTTTTGAGCATCTGCCTCCGCGTCCTCGCAGGTCCCCGCGGTGCTGGTCAGCGTGGGCTGCTATGGAACGCTGGCCGAGACCTTGGGGGCGGCGGAGGGCCCCGGGTACGCGGCCGAGGGCTACGCCTACGTCATCACGAGGGCCGTTGGCTCGCGAGAGGAGATCGCAGGATGGGCCGCCGCGGGCAATGGGAGGGAGGGAGGGAGGTAGGGAGGGAGGGAGGAGGTGGAGGAGGAGGAGGACGAGAAGGAGGAGGAGGAAGCGAAAGCGGCAAAGGGGGTGGAATAGGAGGAGGAGGAGGAGGAGGAGGAGGAGGAGGAGGAGGAGGAGGAGGAGCAGAAGGAGGAAAGCGAGGAGGAGGCGGACCAGGAGGGGGATACGGATAAAGGCGGGAAGGGTAAGGGCGGAGGAGGTGCAGGAGGAATGGGAGCATCATGGTCCTGGGAAGGGGGGGAACTGGTTATGAGTGGGGAGGAGGTCGAGGCGGACGAGGAGGGGATGAGGATGTGGAGGCAGATGGAGGACGAGGAGAGGGATGCAGTCGAAGATCATGAGGATCATGAGGAAAATGACGAATGTGGGGGTGGGGGGCTGAGGTGGAGCAGGCGGAGGACGAAAACGTGGAGGATCTGGCGGACGAGTGGGGCACACTTTTTTAGATGCGCCAGGGAGAAGAGCGCTTGATCAGTCCGAAGCTACCTTTTGTGCGCATCTCCGTCCCCGCACTTTCTCACGCATTCAAGTGAAGTTCCCGCGCTTGGATACACAAGCTAGACGATGACTTGCACCAGTTCGAGACGCGCCCACAGTGACGTACGCGCGAGGCCAATCCGAATGTTTACAACCCGCCGTCGAAGTCAAACTGACAGAGCAAGGTTGTTTGAATCAAAGAAGGCATCAATGTCAATGTTGCCCAGCGTACCTTCTGCGTTTGGAGAAGATCGGTTGGCGTCGGCATGGCAGCGTGCCTCAAACAGACACCACGTTCACCTGTTCCATAGCACGGGGATCGCATCGCACGTCTTGGTTCACAATTGCCTGAAGCCGTCATCGTCAATGCGTGTACCGGTCGCACTTCTGTAATGCGAGACTCCACGTTATGGTGTGTTGTCTCTGCCTCCTCTTCCCCCTGCCAACTTCGGGTACGCGTAAGAGTGACCCTTCGCCTGGGCGACCTTTTGGTACGGGTGCACCAACGTCCTCAGACTGCTTGGTGCTTTGCGATAGCAGCGGCATGCGCGATCCTTCACCACCCACCAGGCCACCCCAACCCAACCCGAAGGCCCCAATTTGCCCTTCATTTCCAGTGTGTGGGTGGGGGGGTGGGGAACGTTGAAACAAACACATGGCACCCGTACACATTGTTCATGACTAAAGTATTCGAGAGTTCTTCGATGTTTTGGGGGGCCAAGATCCTTTCATTTCAAATTCTTCTATCCTGGGCCTCTTCCTGGCCACTAGGGGGCCAGGAACAATTAGAAACGAGCACACTTAGACATGAGCACGATTTGAAATTAACGACGTGTATATGTATTTGTATGTAAATATATAGACATTCATACAAGGCTGCGTTGGCGCTCCGCGCCACGCACCTTGGTCCTTCAAGCTTCGCATATGGTGGCGCTTGGTGTTATCTTCCTTGGCCTCTGGAGTCTGGACGCTTCCTTCACGTTACCCGTGCCTTATTGGCTCTCGCTCTCGATTTCCACGTTCGCGTGACACCCGACTTTTTCCCCAAACAGCTTGCTGAACGGGGTGCTGTTGTGATAGAAGCTAACTCTGGCCGCGGGAATTCAAAGCAGAGACGTCCTCACAAAAAAATTGTGGTCCGGGCCGTTTCACCTGAGACATCCTCGCAACTCTCGTATCTGAGTTGTCCGGGATTGGGCGTTTCGCGTGATACATCCTCCAAACTCTGAGTTCCCAGATGCCGCGCAAGAGGTGGTCCGGCCAGTTTCGCCTGAGACATCCTCCAAACTCTGAGCTCCCAGATGCCGCGCGAGAGGTGGTCCAGCCCGTTTCGCCTGAGACATCCTCCAAACTCTGAGCCCCCAGATGCCGCGCGAGAGGTGGTCTTGCCCGTATCGCCTGAGACATCCTCCAAACTCTGAGCTCTGAGATGCCGTGCGCGAGGTGGTCCGGCGCGTTTCGCCTGAGGCATCCTCGGAACTCTGAGTTCGGAGATGCCGCGCAAGAGGTGGTCTGGCCCGTCTCGCCTGAGACATCCTCGAAACTCTGGGCTCCGAGATGCCGCGCAAGAGGTGGTCTGGCCCGTTTCGCCTGAGACATCCTCCAAATTCTGAGCCCCGAGATGCCGCCCAAGAGGTGGTCCGGCCCGTTTCACTTGAGACATCCTCGCACTTTTGCATTCCGAGATGCCGTGCGCAAGGTGGTCCGGCCCGTTTCGTTTGAGACGTCCTCAAAACTCTGAGCTCTGAGATGCCGCGCGCGAGGTGGTCTGGCCCGTATCGCTTGAAACATCTTCGAAACTCTGAGCTCTGAGCTGCCGCGAAGAGGTGGTCCAGCCCATTTCGCTTGAGACATCCACGCAACTCTGACCTCGGAGATGCCGCGCACGACGTGGTCCAGCCCGCTTCGCCCGAGACATCCTCGCAAATTTGAGCTCTGAGATGCCCTGCGCGAGGTGGTCTGGCCCGTCTCGCCTGAGACATCCTCGCACTTCTGAGCTCTGAGATGCCGTGCGCAAGCTGGTCCGGCCCGTTTCGCACAAGACATTCTCGCAACTCTGAGTTCCCAGATGCCGCGCAAGAGGTGGTCCAGCCTGGGGGCCCAGAATACCACATGTTACATATCCCCCTGGGACCCTGGGAGCCCCAGGATGCCCCAGAGAGCTTCAGGAGGCCGCAGGACGCCCAGGACAGGCCCCAGGGGTCCGCAGAAAATTCCCAGGAGGCTCCCAGGAGGCCCCCTGTCAGAATGTGTCAAGTTAATACACATCTCGTGTCGATGTGTTGATTTTTCCTGCTCTTGTGGCCCTCCTTTGGGGGGCCCAGACGGCCACATGTTAGATATCCCCCCCCCCGGGAGCCTCAAGAGGCTTCAGGAAGCCCCAGGTGGGGTCCAGGAGGCCACAGGAGGCCCAGGAGGAAGCCCCAGGAGGTCCCCAGGAGGCCCCAGGAGGCCCCAGGAGGCCCCCGCAACTCGGAGCTCTGAGACGCCGCGCTCGAGGTGGTCTGGCCCGTTTCGCCTGAGACTGCCTCGCAGCACGTTTCGTCATAGACATCGTCGCAATTCTGGGGTCCGAGTTGCCGCGCGCGAGGCCGCACTTGCATGTTATCATGTTCTAACATGCCCGCGCGAGGCCGCAACTCTGGTCATCTCATCATGCACTGGACGGGCACGCAATCGACCTTGGAAACCGCAGTGGGTTTGAAAGCTCTGTTTGGGAATACTGCGCTCCGGCTATAATTCTTGGGGTGCGCTTTGATTCGGATTTCGAGGCGGACCCGATAACGTGACGACGAGAACGCCACCTGGAGGCCCCCGAACAAAAACGCTGAACCAAAATCGTGTGCCTTCTTCGCTGGATCCTGCGCCCGCAGGTGTCGTAACGGCCTGCGCGTCGACGTGAACGATCGCGCATTCCTGTTCAACACCGGCCGATTCCTGACCATTGGCCGCGTTCAGTCCGAACGCCCGTGCCGGTGTCGCCGCCGCGTCAACACGACGCAAACCGACGACCATGGATGAAACATTATTTCTTGTGGGTCGTTTCCTCTATTCTAGGATTTGACTTTCAGGCCCTATGGTTTGCAGCGGCTTCTGGAAGTCGACGTCGAACCAAGACTCCCGAATCTTACAGAAGTTTGAATAATCATGGCGGCGTCCACAGGCTTCCAACGGCAAGAAACCAATATCTCTCTCTATATATTTACATAAGCCATCGTACATCCCGAAGAGTGACGTGTTGAACCTGGGCGTCGAAACTCAACGGCTTAAGGTCTGTGCTGTGAGTCTTGCTGTTTTAAGCCATGTGGTGCGCGCAATTCGGTGAAATATCTTCGGTGTTGGCTATGTGCTGGCAACCCTGCCATGTAAAGTATGTAATGTGGCCGATGTGGTGGTATCTACATGATGTAAGTTATGTGGTGCAAGCCATGTGGTATGAACAACCTGTTGGGAACATCGTTTGTGGAAGCTGTGCGAAGGAATGACTTGTGTAACTTACGTGGTGCGGGGTCACAATTGCCCACGACGCGGCATTGGCGGGCGCGCGATGAAACTTCAGCTGACCCGCTCAAGTTCTGAATGTCCAAACAAAAGGACCCTACGGCAAACACCGCGCGGGGCACTTGGACATCGTTCTTCATTCCCTCGAACCTCATTTAGTCGATCCTTCTCTTCGGTTTTCGTCCTCCTCGATGCCCCCTTCCCGCGGCGTCGCTGTCGATGCCGGGCGTTTCCCTGGTAGTTTTGGGCGACGAAGGGAGGAGCGAAGCGGGTAAGCACGCCGACGACGACAACGGTAGCGACGACGGTGACGACGACGGCGACAGCGACGGCAGCGACGACGACGACGACGACGACGACGACGACCGCAGTTAGGGCGGCAGCGACGGCGACGACGACGTCGGCAGCGACGACGTCCGTGACGGTAGCGACGGCGACGGCGACGCGGCCCCGCGGCGCATGGCGGCGAGTCCGCTGGCGGCCTCCGCTCCGCCCAGCGCGCGCCCGAGAGCGAACGATCGCGGAGTCGGGGGCTCACCTCGGGGGCCCGTGGGCTCGTGCGAGACGACGAGGAGGAGGAGGAGGAGGAGGAGGAGGAGGAGGAGGAGGAGGAGGAGGAGGAGGAGGAGGAGGAGGAGGAGGAGGAGGTCGTCTAGTCTCGCCCCCCCTGAAGGCGCTGTCCCGCGGCCACGGCTGTGGCGAAGACCACTGCGTCTTCGAGGCCAATCGCGCGGCCCGCGGCCCCGTGGGCTGTAGAGGATTTGTCTTTGGTTGTCGTCGGCCCCCGGTCGCTGGGGAACGTTGCCGGGCCCCCGTTTGTCGGTCTTTCGCGTGGCCAGCGCACGGGCTCGTCCGTGGCCCAGGGTTGCTTGGCCGCGCAGCGCAAGGCAATGGCAAGCAACGCGCTGTCGCACCACGTCGCTCCTCTCATGCATCCCCGCTCTCGCCTGGCGTTGCGAACCCTTCCCCGTCTGCCGCAGGTCTTTTTTAGCGGAGGCTCCTCGTTGGAGAACCTCTGGGAGGCCTCACGAATGCCTCTCAAGGGCTTTGGAGACCTCTGGAGGCCTCCTGGGCGCCTCTGTGGGCCGTCTCGGGTGTCATTTGAAGCCCGTTTGGGCCGTCTTGGGTCCGTTTTGGGCCGTGCTGGGGCCTTCCTGTGGAATTTGGGCCCTCTACGGGCTTTCTTGGGGCCGTCATGGACCTTTCTGGTACCTCCCATGGCCATCGTGGCCTCGTGAGCTTCTTTGGGGCCATCTTGGGGCAGTCTTTAGGCCCTCTTGGGCTGCCTTGAAAGCCTTTTTGGATGGCCTCTCGGGCCGGCTTTGGTCGATCTCGGAGGCTTCTTGGGCCGTCGTGAACGCTGCTACGACACATAATGCGAATATGCTGAACATGCACGTTTCTAGTAGGAATGAGGACTGAGGGCCTCTTCAGGCGTCTTAAGGGCCTATTGGGCTGTCTTGGGGCCCTTCGGGCTGCCTTGAGGCCGTCTTGCGCTGTCTTGGGGCTCTCCTGCGCATCTGCGACCACTTCTCTGATCGCTCTGGGTATGCTGGACAAGGCCCGACAGTGCGCCTTGGGAGGCGCGGCAGGGCTGGGTAACCTCTTCCACGGGCGTCTAGGGGGCCCCAAAGCCCCAGATCCAAAGGCGGCGTTTTTGGGGGAGGGGGGTGATGTTTTTCCCGCCCCCCCGGCTTGAAAAACAGCGATATGAAGGAGGACGTGTGTGTGAACGTCACTGTGTACGCAGGTGCATTAGTATAGCTATAAACGCATGTGGTTTAAGATGGATACGTATTCCCCAAGCAGTGTTGGCACTTTGGGGGTCCTACTTCTTTTCTAAGGAACTGGCCCCAGCTTGCTGACTGGCGGCTCCGCGCTCGCCGTCGCCGCCCCGTCGCTGCCTCGTCGCCGCCCGTCGTCTCGACTTGGCTGGCGGTCTGGCGACTCTGTGCTCGCCGTCGCCGCCTCGTCGCCGCCTCGTCGCCGCCCATCATCTGGGCCTGGCTGGCGGTCTGGCGATCTGGCGGTCTGACGAGGACGACGCGGAACGCCACAACGTCGGCGACGACTCCTGACGTCCGACGTCCAGAACCGACGGCGACGACGACGGCGACGACGACGGCCACGACGACGGCCGAAACCGGGCGTCCACGTGCGACCGCGGCGGCGACGACGACAATAAGTTGCAGCAGCGGGCGCCCGCGCCGCCAGACGCGGTCTTCACCCGCTGGCGCGCGGACCAGGCGGCGGTGCTCCAGGGGAGCCGAACTGCGATAGCTCGGGGGTCGGTAAATGGGGGCCGCGGTCCCCAGAGCGAGGGCTGGTCCAGTTTTCGCCCGTTGTGGTGCGCACGGGTCGCCCGGCTCAATCTCGTAGTCTTCTCCTCTTCCTTTTCCTCCTCCATCCCTCCTCCTTCTCCTCCTCTCCTCCTCCTCCTCCTCCTCCTCCTCCTCCTCCTCCTCCTCCTCCTCCCCCTCCTCCTCCTCTTCCTCCTCCTCCTCCTCCTCCTCCTCGGGTTACCCCGATTGGGCCGCCGTGGCTGCCAGCTCCTCCTGATCGACCGTCAGGGTCCGCTGGTCGAAGATCGAAGGGGGCTTTGGTGGTCGACTGGTCACCACGAGCGTGGCCGCGGGGGCCGCGAGCTCCTCCTCATCATCGGGATTCGTTGGTCGAAGGTCGAGGAGGGCTTTGGGGGCCGATGGGTCACCACGAGGGGGTTGCCAGGGCCGCCAGCTCCTCCTGTCGAAGATCGAAGGGGGCTTTGGGAGTCGATGGCGGCTACCAGGGAGTTTGGGGGAGGCTTGGAGGGGATCAGGAGTGGTGCTCCTACCCGAGCAGGCGGCGACACCCATGGCGGGCTCGCCCCCCCCCCCCCCGTCACTGCCCGACTAGAGCCTCCTTTGTTTCCAGCCAGTTCGGCGCCGATCGATATCCGTTGCTGTGCCGTTCTCCGTGCGCCCTTTGGACCATCAGGTGCTGGACTGGCTGGGCGCGCAGCCCTGGTGCAACGGCCGGGTTGGCACGCACGGCTTCAGCCTGCTCAGCAATTGTGCTTACGCGGCGCGGCTGGGATGAGGAGAACAGGGGGAGTGGCAATGTCGGGAGTTCGAACGTATGTGGAATCATGTGGAGTCGTTGTGATGAAAGAAACGCGTGTCGAAAAACTACTCTCCCAGCAAGTGTCCTTCTCTTCGACTCCCTGGTTCGTCCTTCTTTCTGCCCCTCGGGCCCTCTGGGATAGGAGATGTCGTAGGTGGTAGCCCCGAGAGACGTCAACGGGTCTGACGACGTGTCTCCGATCACTGTGGTTCGAAGATTGCCCTTGCCGCCGCGAAGGTTGCCAAGATGGCTCGCTCGGGGCGTGCTGTGACCATTCTGGATGTCGCAACACAGCCTGATTTCTTCGCCCGGGTCTGACCCAGGCCGTCTTGCGCACAGGGTTGGGGTGGGGGTGGTGAGTCTGCGAAGGGGAGGGGGGGACCCCGTCGGAGGGGGGTGGAGGGTTCTGAAACTGGTTGTCCGGGAGGGCCGTGTCACCGAGCGAGCCAGCGGGGAGGAGAAATGGAGAGAAAGGGAGGAGGAGGAGGAGGGGGAGGAGGAGGAGGAGGAGGGGGAGGAGGAGGAGGAGGAGGAAGGGGAGGAGGAGGAGGAGGAGGAGGAGGAGGAGGAGGAGGAGGAGGAGGAGGAGGAGGAGGAGGAGGAGGAGGAGGAGGAGGAGGAGGAGGAGGAGGAGGAGGGGGAGGAGGAGGAGGAGGAGGAGCAGGAGGAGGAGGAGGGGGAGGTCGCACCCCCCTGCATACCTTTGAGCACGAGATCTGGCGGAGCGCCCTTGCAGTCCCGGAGTGTGGGGGGGGGGCGGCCGGCCGCCTCCCCCGCGTGGACGTGGAGTCTGCTGCGCACCCCCCGCGGTCCTGAAGCGCCCCCCCCCCCCCCCTCCTGGGTCTCTGGTCCCAGACCCCTCGAGCTGTGAACAAATCACGAGGGGAGGTTTGTCGCTATTTTCGGCCTCCGGGGGGCCGTCGCCTTCGCTGGGGCCGTAAGAAACGATCCGGGATGCAAAACCAGCCCTGGGGAAGGGGTCCAGACCTCTGGGGGTCGACGTTGTGAAAAAATCACGACGTCGGCTCCTCCTCCTCCTCCTCCTCCTCCTCCTCCACCTCCTCTTCCTCGTCCTCCCCCTCCTCCTTTTCCCCTTCCTCCCCCTCCTCCTCCTTCTGCTCCTCCTCCTCGTCCTCGTCCTCGTCCTCGTCCTCGTCCTCGTCCTCGTCGTCCTTCTCCCCCCCCCTGTCTCCAGTGTGGTCCCGGAGGGAGCGCACCGCTGGGCCGGTGGTCTTCCCCACCAACATATGGATGCAAGCCAGCGTGGAGGCTTGTGTGGTGCAAGCCGTGTCGTGTAAGCTTTGTGGTGTGAGCAGTTGGAGGTCAAAGCCGCGCGTTGCAATTCGGTGCTGCCTGGACCACGCCTAACTGAGCTATGCTGTGTAGGTTGCGCCGTGTGATTCACGAGGAGTGGGCTGGGATTTCATTATCTGCGGCGTAAGCGGTGTCGCGTAAGCTGTGCGGTGCGAGCCATGCGGTGGAAGCGATGTCGTATACTTTGTGCGGTTGAGCTCAGCGCGCGGGGCGCCCACGAGCGCCCACGAGGCGGCGTCGGGTTGCAACATGGCGCGACCTCGGCGGACCCACCCGGCGCACGGGGCGCCCTCGAGCGCCCACGAGGCGGCACGGGCGGCGGCACCGCGGAAAGCATGCGGCGGAGCCACCCAGCACACGGGGTGGCCACGAGCGCCCGCGAGGTGTCACGGGCGGCAGCGTGGCACATCCTCGGCGGACCCATCCAGCGCGCGGAGCGCCTACGGGCAACCGCGAGGGGCGAGGAGGGCGAGGAGGGCGAGGTGGGCGAGGTGGGCGAGGAGGAGGAGGAGGAGGAGGCGGAGGAGGAGTCGGAGGAGCAGGAGGAGGACCAGTACCACGGCGAGGGGGAGGAGAAGGGTGGCGGCGACGGGGACACTGAAAGTGACGATGGCGAAGACGACGATTCTGATGTCGGTCATGTTGTTGGTGTTGGTGTTGACCACGGCGATGCCGACGATGCTGGCGATCGTTGTGATGACAGTATCGATGCTGACGGCGCTGATTATGTTGAAGATGATTACGATGCGGATGATTACGTGATGACGGTGTTGTCGATGACGATGCAAAGAGGAGGAGGAGGAGGAGGTGGAGGAGGAGGAGGAGGAGGAAGGAGGAGAGGAGGAGGAGGAGGAGGAGGAGGAGGAGGAGGAGGAGGCGATGCCTTGGAGGAGGAGGAGGAGGACGACAAGGAGCAGGCATCAGAACAACACAGCCAGGCCTTGCTGTACGCTTCAGGAGCGGGGGAGCGAGCACTTCTGCGCTCCTGCGGAGGGCCCCACGCGGCCGGCTGGCAGCTAGCCAATGGAGGGCCGCGCCAGACATTTTGGAGGACGCCGGCTGCTGCCCCACCGCGCGGACGGTCCCGGGCCAGGGCGCGGCGCCGGCTGGGAGATGCTGCGTTGGCCGCCGCAAAACGGGCCCGAGGACGGGGCAACTCTGCAGGCAGGCGCTCCTGCCGAGGCGGCCCCGAGGCGCGGAGCAGAGATGCCGAGGACGTGTGGGAGCGCGGGTGCCAAGAATGCGACTGCCGCACGGCCCGGTAGGTCCCGGCTCTTGTTGGGGACAGGTGGCGCTGGCGCTGCATTGCCCCAGCGTGCACGGGGCCCGCGGCGAGGCCGACGGCGCCATCTCTTGGGCCTTGCGCCCGTGGGGGGCGCCACCTGGCGGCGCAGCGAGGGACTGTCCCAGGCTGTGCGCGGATGACGCTGTCCGCTTCCGCGTTCCTTGGGACGGCCGCGGACGGCGACGGCGCCGTCAATGCGAACACGCCGAGGCGGACAAGCGGCGCGGGTACCCGGCGCGCCGCGCGTCCTGGCCGCTGCTCCCGCTGGCGCTGGCCTCAATGGGGCGCCACGGCCAGACAGCGCCCCGGCACCTCCGCTGGCTGGCGCGAGACGGGGCTCCAGGCCCTGGCTTCGGCGATGGCTCCGCAGCGGAGGCGGCTGCCAGCGCGCTGGCGCAGCGCCACCGCTCGGGAGCTTCGCACTGCCCAGGGGCGCGACGACACCCAGGCGGCGGCCGCCGTGCTGGCAGGACGAGTTAGCGCAGAAGGCGCGCCGGGGCGCTGGCGGGGGCAACCTGGGCGGGCGGTCGTGGCGAGTGGCTGGCCGCTCGCGAGGAGGAGGAGGAGGAGGAGGAGGAGGAGGAGGAGGAGGAGGAGGAGGAGGAGGAAAACGAGGAGGAGGAGGAGGAGGAGGAGGAGGAGGAGGAGGAGGAGGAGGAGGAGGGGGACGACGACGACGACGACGACGATGACGATGGCGAGGATGACGAGGAGGACGAGGAGGGGGTCAGGGGGGATTGTGGGCACGCTGGCTGGCATACGCTGGGCGTAACTGCTGTCAGTGAAGCTATTTCTTGGAATTACCACAGACGACGGCAGCTGATGCGGCGCATGAACGCGGTCAAATTTTGATCTGGGTCGGGATGGAGTTCCGATTGCTTGAGCTTTGGTTGTCTCGTCGAAGTGCAGGAAGGCACGTACGAGGCCAGTGAAGCATATGTGGTCCCCCAGCAGTGTAGATGAAAGGGGTAATCAGAAATTGGTTGCGAAAGCTTTCGTGAGGATGATACAGGCGGTGGCGCATCTTTATTCTACAACCGAGCGTGTTGTCATGATAACTCATGTGCGGGCTCATTTTTTTGGCGATGACGTCGCTGCAAGCCACAGGCTGCGATACTACGGACGTGTGCGTATGCTGGAACATGCTGCTGTTTTCTCTCTGCAAGCGGGCCCCGATCCCGTCGGTGCGTTCTGGCCAGAATCTCGTGACGGGTCAATCCGTGCCGACGATGACGGGCCAGAAGGCCCAAGCGACTTCCCAAATCTCCACACAGCTCAATCTTCGAATTTCGATCATATATGTAGTATGTACCTCAAACCGAAACACGCATGTCAACACTTGCCCTGCACATGTACCCCCCGAAGACCCCCATGGACTCACAGCAGCCTCCGGGCACCTTGGCAAGTCAAGAATCGACGACGAAAGTGCCCCTAGGTCCCTAGATTTGTTGTAGCGGGGCTTCTTTTTGTATGCAGCCTCTATGCGTTCGCACTCGCCGTCTCTTCTTGGCGCCGAGCAGAATTTTGGCACCAACGCCGCAATCGGTTGTCGTTTGCGCCGAAGGGGGATGATCCCGTTCTCGGTGATGGTGGTGCTTTTCTTCTGGCTTCTGAAGGCCGACAGGTTACCACAACCAATATAGGCGCAATCTTTATGACAACCACCAACACTGGCGCCGCGCTGCGCTAAGAAACTGCACGCTTCAAGAGGGCAAAGCAATTCAGCGAAGCTGGATCTCAATCTCTTACTGGAAGAATTTTGAGCAGAAGTTTGGGTGTGCTAAAACCCAGGATCATTTCCCCTGGGAGGAGGCACACTTCTGTGTGTTGTGTTGGTGCCAGCGGGGCAATGTTTGGGGGGAACAGGCTCATAGGTGGGGGCGCCGACCCCCTAACAACCGCCTGTTGGTCGCTGGTGGGCGCCCCACAGCCCCGCCCAGGAGCGTCTGCTCTCGCTGTCGGGGGCCTGTCGTCGATCCGTGGGCGATTTGCCTCGCCGATCACAGGTCGATGCTCTCCTCCCGGAGCCAGGTCTCCCCCCTATAGCGTTCCTCCTCGCTTGCAGTTCCGGGGCCCCGGACTTCGGCCGGCCGATCGGGACTTCTCCCGATTGGGAGTTTCACAGCGATTCGAGCCCCTGCCCGCGCTCGTTGCCAGGGAGTGGCAGCGGCTCTTCACTGGGAGTGGATGCAGCCCCCTTGAGGGGACGCGGATGTGATACGCAATCAGAGCGGGGGATGTTGTTGGTGGATGCTTGCGGTGAAAAAAAACAGGTCCCAAACGTCTGCCATTTCCCACGCTGGCCCGGCGCACCCGTCCAGGCGCTCGCCGCCTCGCGCGACAAGAGCGCCCCGGACACGCGCGCCCAGGCACCGCGGCGGGGCGGGAACTGGGCGTGTTCCGCTGTGCCGTGCCGAGCACCGTCCGTTTATGGCACTGTCAGGCCCTTGTCTGCTTGCAGCATGCAAGCGTAAGCGGGCCGCCGTCTTTCAGTACGCGTACGCCAGCGGACAGGGCGTTAAGGCTCACTGATTGTGTGGTCGGGCTCCGTTCGTGCTCCGTCCAATCGCGCACAGGTAGGCTCGCCTGCGTTCAGATCGCGGATATTCAGATCATTGATGTCCAGATTCGCTTGTATTCTGATTTTGCAACGCCAAGGTCGTTCGAATTCAGCTTCGTCATATTCAAAATCACCCACCCTCATTATCGTTCGTGCATGCAGTCTCAAGGCAATGTGCAGCTACACAGAGAAGTCATAATCATACTCACATTGACACGTACCCGCTCATATTTCGATTCACGCATGTTCAGATTTACGCACATTCGCATTTATCTACAATTGGGTGATCTCATTTGTATGCTCAACAATGCGCAGGTCCACGTGACTCCGTTCATGTTCATAATCATATGCAGACTCACTCACCCCCAGACTTTGCCACGTGAGATCTCACTGCTTGTTAGATCACTCGTGCCTGGAATATTTTGTATGTCTATTCGCTCTGATTTATTCATGTCCAGACATTCGTGTTCAGACTGAGTCGTGCACTCCAGGAGCAGGCGGGCTCACTGATGCACAGGGCCCAGTGACCACCGCAATGTGACAGGCCCGGCACACGTGGGCACTTCATGGGGGGGATCCGCGAGGGGGCCTTCTAGCGCCCAGGTAGCGGGGATGTCCCAGGTAAGCTTGCCACGCTTGGAGGGTCGACGCGCCTCTCTTCAGAGCCCCCTGAACATCGCGACGGAGCAGGCATGGCATGTGGGCGTCCCAGGGGGGCCGCCATGGAGTGTGACTTGAGCCCGTTTGCGCTGAGATTGCCGGGACCCCTCCGGCAGAAGTGTCGCTCTGATGGGATGGACGCATCCTTTTCCAGAGCCCCGTGGCTCTCGCGAGGCAGCAGGTGGAGGGAATATTCTCAAGAAGCAGATTCCCAACCCTCCTGCGTTGGGCTCTCCTTTGGGGTAGAGCTCTGCGGTCTCACGCTCCTGGTGCCATCCTCCCTCCTGCCTGCCGTCTTCAGGAGGGAAAAGCACACACAGACACAATTAATCGTCGATTCCCAGGAAAATATAGGAAAATATGGGAAGTGGGGGGGAAGACAAAAACCCAGAAGATATAGGAAAATATTGGGAATATTTTTATTTGTGTGTATTTATGTGTGTATCCCAGGGCCCCTTCATGTCTGCCCTGCCGTCTGCCTGCCCTCTGCCCTGCCTCACTCATACCTGCCTGCCGCCCTGCCTCCTCCGCCTTCGCTGGGGCGCTGCGGACTGCGAAACCGTGTGCACAGTGCTCATTGCTTATTCTTCGAGAGTTCTTTGATTTTCTGGGGTGCCAAGATCCTTTCAGTTCTGATTGTTCCATCCTGGGCCTCTTCCTGGTCGCTAGGTGGCCAGGAGCAACTAGAAACGAGCACAAGTAGAAATAAGCACGACTACAAATCAGCGACGTGTGCACTTTCGAGGGCTTCTGGGGCGGGGGGGGCCAGCACGGTGGGCACCCACCGCGGATTCAATCCAGACCTCCCGATCCTTGGGTGGCTGCGATCTGCGAATCTGTCGCCATGTCCGAGGGCTGCTGGGATGGGCAGCGTGGTGGGTGCTCGCCGCAGATTAAGATTGGACCTCGCCATCCCTGGGGGCTGCGGTCTGCAAATCTGTCGCCACTTTCGAGGACTGCAGGGGGGGGAGCATAGTGTGTATCCACCGAAGATTAACATTAGACCTCGCCATTCCTGGGGGGCTGCGGTCTGCGAAGCTGGCACCCTTTTCGAGCGCTATTGGGGGGGGGCAGCTTAGTGCGGTGCTACACAGATCAGACTGGGACCTCGCCATCTGGGAGGGGGGGGGCTGCTGCGAATTTTGAAACGGTCGCCACATCCGAATGTTGTTTGGGGGGGCGGCAGAGTGCTGTGCTACGCAGGTCAGAGCGGGACCTCGCCATCTGTAGGTGCTGCGAGGTTCGAAGCGGGGGCCGCTCTCGAGGGCTGCGGGCCGCCCTCAATCCTAGTTGCAGGCCTGCGGGCGCTCAGCTCCCGCACCGGAAGCTGCAGGGAGGATGCCGGGAAGCTTGCGGGCGAGCTCGGCTTCGCTCGCTTCCTGCACTGGCCATGGGCGTATCTACGTCTTTGGAGCGCCACGGCGGCGTGCCGAAGGCAGCGCTGCATGCCCAGCGAGCCACTGTAAGCAAGGCCACCTTTCGGTCTCACCACGCCCCTTTCGGCGCCGCCGTCTTCACCCTGCCACCTTCTCCCTGCTGCTGCCGCCGCCGCGTTGGCTGTCCTGCCCACCGGTCCCGCTCTTCACCTGCCCAGCGTTCGTTCCCGCCCCCGTTCTGCTTCGGGCCTGGGGCATCACCCCTTTGCGGGCAAGATTTATATCCATATCCAGTGCGCCTTCGATTTTGTTGGAAGGGGCGCCACAAGGCCGAGGTGCACTGGACATGGATAAAAGTCGAGCCTCTAGGGGGCAAATTTATCCATATCCAGTGCGCCTCGGGTTTCTGGGGAAGGGAGCCCGAAACTCCACACTGCAGTGGATATGGACAAAAGTATTGCCCGCACCCGTGTCATTTTATAGTTGTCTTGTGAGTCGTGCTATGTTCGCGTACCCCATGTCGCTTGCACAACATATGACGGCGCCTGCACTGCCGTTGCCAGTGCACGTGTGGACACACACGACTTGTCACTTGATGCTGATTGGCGGGGTATGTCGCAGGGTGATTTGTTTTGAAGGGTCGGCGCGTCCGGCAGAACATTTGGGTATCCCAAGAGGTAGCCGCCACGAGCCGCCAAGGTCAGGGACATGCCCGTTCGCGCCCAAACCATTGGGATGTTTCGGGTAGAGTTGACCCTTGCCGGGGTGTTTCGACGAGTTTTTTCACATCCCTCCTTGGTTGGGTATTCGTTTTGAATAGGGCACTGCGGTCTCCAGTCCTCCTCCTCCTCCTCCTCCTCCTCCTCCTCCTCCTCCTCCTCCTCCTCCTCCCGCCTCCCGTCTCCTCTTGATTTGCGCGGACCTGGCCATCCCTGGGGGGCTGCGATCTGTGACACTTTCGCCACGCTCGAGCGCTACTGGTGGGTCCTGCGGAGTGAGGCACCGCAGGGATCTGAGCGGGACCTCACCGTCCTTGGGGGGCTGCGATCTGCGACATCGTCGCCACTTTCGAGGGCTGCTGGTGGGTCCTGCGGAGTGAGGCACCGCGGGGATCTGAGCGGGACCTCGCCGTCCCTGGGGGGCTGCGATCTGGGACATCGTCGCCACTTTCGAGGGCTGCTGGTGGGTCCTGCGGAGTGAGGCACCGCGGGGATCTGAGCGGGACCTCGCCGTCCCTGGGGGGCTGTGATCTGCGACACTGTCGCCGCTTTCGAGGGCTGCTGGTGGGTCCTGCGGAGTGAGGCACCGCGGGGATCTGAGCGGGACCTCGCCGTCCCTGGGGTGCTGCGATCTGCGACAGTGTCGCCACTTTCGAGGGCTGCTGGTGGGTCCTGGAGGCACCGCGGGGATGAGCGGGACCTCGCCGTCCCTGGGGGGCTGCGATCTGCGACACTGTCGCCACTTTCGAGGGCTGCTGGTGGGTCCTGCGGAGTGAGGCACCGCGGGGATCTGAGCGGGACCTCGCCGTCCCTGGGGTGCTGCGATCTGCAGTGTCGCCACTTTCGAGGGCTGCTGGTGGGTCCTGCGGAGCACCGCGGGGATCTGAGCGGGACCTCGCCTTCCCTGGGGGGCAGCGATCTGCGACATTGTCGCCACTTTCGAGGGCTGCTGGTGGGTCCTGCGGAGCACCGCGGGGATCTGAGCGGGACCTCGCCGTCCCGGGGGGCTGTGATATGGGATATTGTCGCCACTTTCGAGGGCTGCTGGTGGATCTTGCGGAGTCAGGCACCGCAGGGATCTGAGCGGGACCTCGCCGTCCCTGGGGTGCTGCGATCCGGGACAGTGTCGCCACTTTCGAGGGCTGCTGGTGGGCCCTGCGATGTGAGGCACCGCAGGGATCTGAGCGGGACCTCGCCGTCCCTGGGGGGCTGCGATCTGCGACACCATCGCCCTTTTCGAGGGCTGCTTGTGGGTCCTGCGGAGTGAGGCACCGCGGGGATCTGAGCGGACCTCGCCGTCCCTGGGGGGGGATGCGATCTGCGACACTGTCGCCGCTTTCGAGTGCTGCTGGTGGGCCCTGCGGTGTGAGGCACCGCGGGGATCTGAGCGGGACCTCGCCGTCCCTGGGGGGCTGCGATTTGCGACACTGTCGCCACTTTCGAGGGCTGCTGGTCGGTCCTGCGGAGTGAGGCACCGCGGGGATCTGAGCGGGACCTCGCCGTCCCTGGGGGGCTGCGATTTGCGACACTGTCGCCACTTGCTGGTGGGTCCTGCGGAATGGGGCACCGCGGGGACATCGTCGCCACTTTCGAGTGCTGCTGGTGGGCCCTGCGGAGTAAGGCGCCGCGGGGATCTGAGCGGGACCTCGCCGTCCCTGGGGGGCTGCGATCTGCGACATTGTCGCCACTTTCGAGTGCTGTTGGTGGGCCCTGCGGTGTGAGGCACCGCGGGGATTTGAGTGGGACCTCGCCGTCCCTGGGTGGCTGCGATCTGCGACACCATCGCCTTTTTCGAGGGTTGCTGGTGGGTCCTGCGGAGTGAGGCACCGCGAGGATCTGAGCGGGACCTCGCCGTCCCTGGGGGGGCTCTGGAGAGCTGCTGCGGGATACGTAAGGCGCAACGGGCGCATGGCACAGCCAACGGGGGAGCTGCTGTGGGATACGTTGGGTGCAACGGGCGCATGGCACAGCCAACGGGGGTGATTTGTTATTACGTAGCCCTCAGATCTTGTCCGGTGTCCTGCGAGCCTTCCGATTGCTGCTCGCAAAATCAC